CCTGTCGCTCCCGTTCTCGATCCCGTCGCTCTTGCTCACACTCCTCCTTTAGCTCTCGTAACTCCTGAAGCATAGCACGAAGCATATCGGAGTCCGATGTCGTAGTCGCCGGAGTTTGAGCACGAGTCCTCCTCGGAGAGTGTGCCATTGCCATATTTGAAACACTAATCGTCTTTTTCACTTCAATTTACTCCCGAAACGTTTATAAACGCAATCGCGTTCCGTCGGATAGCGGATTTTTGACTGTCAGATTACGAACAATCGGACGAGCCCCCAAAATGTTACGTTCGCGCACTCACAAAAAATGAAACAACACACGTTTAAGAAAGAACGTAAACTTTTAATTATAAACTCAGAGATTCTTTCTTAAAACACAACGTGACATGTCCTCGCAAGGCGAAGGCTCGAACATGACAACAACAACACGCTTGTTTTACAATCGTAACCAAGAGACATCGATTACTAGTTTACACAAGATACACAAGAGAATTGCAAGCTATACACTTCAGCTGACACTTCAGCTGTTGCTTGACGGGGACGAGACCAGTGTCACGGACGTAACAGTATTTTGCACTATTTATTTTATCTAGCCCTTTAAGTCATTATATGATGGCCTCGTAATATTCACTAATGTCCCCTGCGTACAAAATGACTTTCACTTTCTACGTACGCATTCAGTATTTTTTATATGAAGCGGAAATATGGCGTATGAAAGATAAATATAATATTTTTGCTTGTTTTTATGTTATACTGGGCTGTTTTGCATACATTGGCATCTCTATATTTACTCTGTAAAAACATTTTTAATTTTATGCAGCCATATGGAAGAATAGTGAAAAATAGATAATGTCGGTATTCAGTATTCCCTTAAAGGCGTACATATGCCATCCCTGGTAAAAATTGTTCTCATAATTTTTTATACAATTTCTCATATTATTATTATTTTTTTTTTAATGTCATTATGTCATTAAATCTAAACGATTTAATCGTCATGCAATAAGTATTGAAGGCAGCAGCATCGAATAAAATATTACTCCCGCCGTATAAATAACTTTTACAGAATTTTTGTGAGGGCTTATTTGAAAATATATCATGCTTCGATTTTGATAAAATTTAATACAATCTGAACTGGATGATCGACCAAATTAATTTGCACATGTAAAAGCACAGTATTCTATTAGCATAATGTCATTATCTGCTGTTTTATTGCAGTGATTTTCTATACAATCCCTAGTAGAAAATTAATTTCGAATTATCGTGCCGATCTCTCTTACATTATTTATACGCTAAACGATTTCGTCTATATTTTGCTGTTTAAAAGACGAACAAACTCTAAGATTTTTCTTCCTTAAACTTTAAGTGGGCAATACAAAGCACTTTTTATCAAGTGAGGAATTGGCGTAGTGTTTAAGGCGACGGACGATTATTCAAAAAATGTTTTTGGTTCAAGTTTGAATCTCACCAGAGAAAATCTTAAAAATTATGAAAAAATAATATAGAAAAGCTTTTTTTTCATTATATTTTACGAGTATTTATTAGTATTTATGAGAAAGCGCTCATTCTATGAGTAATTATGAAAAATTATGAGAAAATTTTCTACCAAAGATTTAATTAAAGAATCTACGAAATGACAGGATCTCCGCGCAACCTGCTGTCATTCTGCTATCACATATATGTCTACAAACTCTGCGTGCATACTGTTGTAAGTTTACTGTCAGAGCCTATCGGCAGGTTCTGGCAACAGTCTAATAGCCTATTGACTCGATAGATGACTATGGATCTGACGACAGGGTCTGCTCGAATCTGATGTCAATCTGACGTCAGTCTGCGCTCAATTTGCTTACTGGGTTATTGCACAATATAATTATCTTGATTCCTTTCGAAGTTCTGTATGATGTGCATATGAAACTACCCCATTTAATAGCGTACATATGGCGTATATAATATGGCCCTTGATAGAATTAAATAGCCTATCTACGAAACAGAATCTGTGCGCAATTTGCTGCCAATCTGCCGTCAAAGTTTGTCGGTAGGCTCTGCATGCAGTCTGTCACTAATCTGTCGTCAGAGACTGATAAAACGGTTTCTGTGTGCAATCTGTTGTCATTCTGTCAGCAGACACTGTTGACAGATTTTGTGCAAAATCTGCTCGCACAAGTTTGGCTATCTGGGTCCATATTCATATATATAATCGAATCAGATGGTATCTAATTCAATATAATTTGATTTACTTTAACAAATTAGTTTTCTACTGTTTTAGAAATAATCCAGGTAGCTACACCTGAGCGAATAAATTTCGCAAAAAATTTGCTATCAAGTTTTTATGGCTAATGAGCAACAAATTTGATGCAGAATCTATGTTATTAAATTCTTTTGTCAAACTGCCATCAAATATATATCAGAGCTTGCTGTTTGGCAACTTGTAGCAAATTTGCGTGCAATTTGCAATTTATTTCATAATATTCTCTATTATATAGAGTCTGACGCAAGCTATATCGATAACAAAAAATGCATAAAAAACGTTAAACTGAAAGGAATGGTCGAAGTCATTTTGCAAATAACCACAAAACTTTAGAAATATTAAATGAAATAAATAGGCGAATAAATGTATTTGCTAGGTACGTTATAATATATTGTAAACACTATAAGTACACATTACATAAATTGTAAGAAAATCGTTGGAGTCACCGCGTGCGCGCTCGATCGTTAAGGGGAGGTTCTCATTACGACCGACCAAAAAATCGATTTTTTGTTTTTTGCATTTTTTTGTAGTAAATTATGTGTAGAATATATTCCCAAAACCGTTTGGTCGAATATATTTTTTTTTAAAGTTATTGAACAAAAACGAGACCTATCTTTTGACTCGAAAATTGAAGCTCGAGCGGTAGTTTGAACGGAGCGTATCTTACATAAATATTTTTGAATTGGGCGCCCATATATCCATATCATGGTAATCAGAGGTACCATATGGGCCACCAGGTATCGACACATGGGCCATGACTCCGAAAAATTCGAAAGTGTGTCTCTATATACAGTATAAGTAATGCTAACGGCTGTAGCGTCGGCAGTTAGTTTACCACGTGTTGCGAGTGAAATCAGTTGTTTAGTTGAGCGTTAGCATTCGTTCGTTGTGTTTATTAGTTGAGAAAATGCCTAATCTAGTGAAAAAAAGGAGTAATTACGCCGTGGGGCATCCTAGTCGAACGAATAAGAGACGATTTCGTGGGAATAGATTTACTGCGGAGTGCGATACAAAGCAAGTGAGCACTTCAGCGAAAAAATTGAAGGACGCCGATTATGATTCTGTGCCTGTTGATGCTTCGGCAAATTACGTGCTCCTGCATTTTTTCCACGTATTTTCAATAGTCAGTACTTTCGTTAAATGCCAATCGTGCGATGGTGAAGTAAAGTTCTCGAAGACGAGCGGTGCTGGTGTTGCCTTCAAGATTGTGGCCTCGTGCTCGTGCTCATCGCGTTACTGTGATTCGAGTCCGAAAATTTCATGAAGTAAATCGCAGAAATCGCATGTTTGCTATACGAATGTTGGGCGGTGGATTACAAAATCTTCGGCTGTTCTGTGCATTGCTGGATATTACAGCGTCTTTCAGTAATAACATATATTACACATTCTTAGACAATCTGCACGCTGCGTCATATGCCATTTTTCAACATTTTCAAAGCAAAGCAGTGAAAGAAGAAATGGAGGGAAACGTCGCCGCCGGTAAAGATCCTCGTCTCGTTACCGTGTCAGGTGACGGGTCATGGAAGAAACGAGGTTTCTCGTCTTTATTTGGTTTTGCTATGCTCATTGGCAAAAACACAAGTAAGGTTTTCGACGTCTGCGTGAAATCTTCTTTCTGCCAAGCTTGTGCTAATTGGAAAAGTAAAAGTGGTACAATTGAGTATAATTTATGGAAAGAGAGCCACGACGAGACATGTTCCGCTAACCATCATGGTAATTCCGGGAAAATGGAAGTGGAAGCGGTGAAAGATATGTTCTCTCGTCCAGTAGAATTGCTTGGCATTAAGTACGATTCATATATTGGTGATGGTGACACAAAAACGTTCAAGGCCATACTAGAAATGAATCCCTACGACGATCTTGTAGTAAAAAAAAAAGAGTGTAGGCCACGTGTGTAGGCCACGTACAAAAACGTATGGGCACACGTCTCAGAGCTGTAAAAAAGCAGACCAAGGGCCTCGGAGGTAAAGGTTCCGGCAAATTAACCGATAAAATTATTTCTGATTTGACAATTTATTATGGATTGGCCATCCGAAGAAATTCAGATTCTGCAGAAAACATGAAGAACGCCGTGTGGGCTGTTTTTTATCACAATATTTCCACTGATAAAAAACCGCAGCACGAGTATTGTCCGGCTGGAAAGGAGAGTTGGTGCAAGTGGCGTGTTGCTGAAGCCAACGGTACTCTCAAGACGTTTAAGCATAAGCCGCCTCTTGCAGATAACGTGCAAGACGCAATCAAACCAATATTCGAGGCTTTGTCGTCGGACGATTTGATAGAACGTTGCACTGGCGGCAACACACAAAACTCCAACGAGTCCGCGAACGCTTGCGTCTGGAAGCTTGCTCCGAAACACCTTCACTGCGGTGCCAAGACCGTCGAAATTGCAAGTTATACGGCTATTAGTTTATTTAATGAAGGTTATGTAACATTATTAAAAATTATGAACATCTTGGGAATTGCCGTTGGGCTTGAAGCCAATAACTTTGCCCGCCTAGCTGATGCGAAACGCGTTACTGCAGCTGAGAGCAGCATGTCAGACGGCGCAAGAACAGCCGCACTTTCGAGAAAATCCGACCAAGCAAGTCTGCAGGAGCAATATAAACTTGAGGAAGGACTGATGTATGGCCCTGGAATCGCTGATTAACCATAAGGTATATTATTTTAACGTTAACATAGATTAATCGTTAATCAAATCTTTAATCGCGTCTCCTGAAAAATCGTGTTTTTCGAACTGTTGTCCACGATTACTCAAAAACTACTTGATGGATCGCCTTTTTTTTTTTGTTTTAAAGTAGATTTGATTTATTGGAGCCCCTACTACAATCAAGACGATATATGCATTACTTTTTTTTTACAGTATTTGAAAGAGCGAAAATAAGCGAAAAAACGGAAAAAAAATTCAAATGCCCGCCATTTTTTTAATTTTTGATTTTTATCGATAATTCTAGTAGGGGCTCCAACTACACTCATATATTTTATAAAAATTTATTGATTATTAATTTTCGATAATTTTTGCAGAGTGGACAACAGCGGACCACCTTTTTTTGAGACGGTCACTTTACGGGGCGTGCCAACAAATACCGTCACATTATTTTTTAATAAAAAAAATGTTTTTTCGTACCTTTTATTGTATTAAATAAGTGGCAAAAAGTTCAAGTTGATTATTCATTTCCTTCCATAAAAAAAAAATTCAAGAAAAAACCGTTGTTTTTGGGCTTTCTAATGAGAACCTCCCCTTAAGGTTAAGCAACATTTTAACCCAGTCAGGACATGGATGGGTGACTGGCATACCTCTTCGGATTCGAAATTATCGCGAAAGTTTTAGAGTGTGTTTTACAATCTTTCGATTTCTAGCAGTTATGAGTTATGAGAAAATTAGGAATTAATTTTTTTTTATAGCTATGCGGAAAATTTTTAAGTGAACATTTTTACATTATATCAAGGTTTGCGCAACATTGATTCAATGTTTCTCATTGTTACTGCAATATTGACATTGTTGCAATTCAATATTGATTCAACATTACTGTGCTGTATGAGATATGATTCAAATCTGATTATTACGCTTCCTATGCTATATAGGAAGTGTAATAATTAGATCTGTATCATATATAACGTTATATCTGACTATATATGAAATCTGGATCTGATCAGATCTTGACAAAATCCATATCTGGCTTTTATCTGAACTTTTTTTACCGGGCTTATACATATTTCGTCATTACATCTTTCTCCAAAACTGAGCAAATGCGCATATACGTCTATGTTTTATGTATATTATATTTTGTTTTTTTTTTTTATTGAAATGATTCTTATTTATTAGAGATGGAAAACTTCAAATCTTTCATGTTTACATGAAATCAATAATAGGTATCAAATGTTTGATACATTGAACAGTGTAATATCTAAATTCTCTGGGTTATTGCTAAAAATGTAACAGGAAAAGCAATGAAATCTTAAAATCTTTGCGGTACTATTCTTTGTTATTATAAAGGTTCGTATCTAGCAGATAATGAAATTCGCAGAAACAAAAAATTTATAAAATGACGAAATTCATAATATTAAAAATAGAAAAATTTTTAACATTTAATTTGAAATAAGTTACCTGGGTACTTACACATTGGTAGAAGGACTAATATTAAATTAAGAATATATGATATTTGTAAGAAATGTCTAAGAAATATTATAAATCTTTTTAACACGTAGGAGTTTCTAATCACCTTACAAGAACCAGTACCTCAACCAAATAAACATGAGGAAAAGGAATGGTGGCATCCTGAATGTACTCGAACTGTAGCAGAAGAGATGCTAAAACAAATACCTACAGATGGTGCATTTTTAGTAAGACCTAGTGAAAGGGAAAGTAATTGCTATGCAATTTCATTTAGGTAAGATATTTTAAAATATTTTGTTTTTTATTATTGTATACAGGAGGGATGAATTACCACACATAAAATATAGACAACATATTACTACACTTGTAGATTCTTTACACAAAAAATGGCCTCTTTTTCTTTCGAATGATAGTTTTTAAATGAGAACTAGTTAAAGTTGAATTATTGTATTAGGTTGCGCATAAATGAGAAATGACGTATACTTCGTATACATCAAAACATCACGTGAGTCATGTAAGCTGCTTTCTTCTATCTCATTAAAGATTTTGAGTAGGATCCGTTTAGCGTTACAAATGCTTCAAGACCAAACATATTAATTTATTTGTATTCTCTCATTTATTTTGATACCAATTATTATTTTATATTTAAATTCTTATATCTAAATTTATCGTTATTTTGTTTTATACAAGTAAATTTTGTTTTATACAAAAAAATTCTTTAACGATATTAGATTAGAGTGGCTAAAAATAAAATATACTTAAATGATGTTTAAATAATTATAAGTGTTGTTATAACGCTCTAAAAATATTTGTGACCTTGAAAAAAGCCGATTGATCGATTTATTTGTAGTATAGGATGTATTAAACATTTAATTTTAATATGCCAAATTAATGAAAAGTCTGACGATGCATATTCGTCTGTCGGTATAGCCGTTCTGAGTAGCGCGGTCCATCCTCCGCTTTGTCGCCTCTCTCCTCGCGATTGTCCGCCGCCTTTTCCGTCTCCTGCGTCACGCGGTCGTCGGCGGGATGATTTAAATCAGTCTCCCACGTTTGGCCTTCCTGCGTTTCGTCCGACTTGGATAATGATTCCGAATCTTTTCAACGTTTGAAGTATTCGGCATAGATAGTAGTGTTTAGGACCCTCTTGCGTTTCCTCTCGTACTACATCGTAGATATCGTTTCCTTTTACTTCCTGAATTCGATAGGGCCTAAAATACTTAAATTTCAATTTTAGCCCTGGTCCGAATTGAATCCGTTTTATGGCCACCAATTCTCCGATCTGATATTGTAAAGTATAACGGCGTCGTTTATTAAATTGATTTCGGTTCTCTTTCTGGGTTTCAAAAATTTGTTCCTGAGCCTCTTCACGTATGTCTGCTCTTCCGGTTTCATGATGAACTTTGTTTTCAAGAAGTTTGATAAGTTGATGATCGACTTTAAGTTGCATCTGATCAATAGTTCAAATGGCGTCCGTTTAATACTACGCTGATAAGTAGAATTGATAACTTGTTGAACTGTGGCTACATATTTATACCATTTAGTCGGGTCTTCAGCAGAATGTTTAGCGAGAACATTCATAACAGTACCATTGATCCTCTCGACTTGCCCATTGGTCCTGGACAGGCCTGCGGTGATGAACTTCAATTCAATGTTTTCATTTAGAAAATAATCTTTAAATTGTTGTGATATGAACGTGGTTCCTCTGTTCGCTATTATTTAGAATGGATTACCAAAAGTCGTTTTCTGCATCTCCAGTTTGATTATCACTTTAGCACTTGTGGTAGATTGTACAGCTAGATTTTATCTCGGCACTTGTGGTAGATTGTACAGTTACACAAAGGCCGTGGCCGTTTTCGTATGGTAAAATGTTCCCAGCGATATTGGAGTCATTTTCACACACAAATTACATCATGATTCAACATTAAATTACCCATCATGTGGAACCACGTGGTTCTGGAGTTATGTCGTCAAGCTCAAATATCAAAAAGAATTTTTTTTTAAACGAGAAAAGCCATGGCTTTGAAAAAATATAGAAAGTCAAATATGTTAGGAAGTGCGACGCGACTCGCCTACTCGCGAGGGTTTCTCGCGAGCGACGGCAAACAGTCGTCTGTTCGCCGCATCGGCAAATTGCCGTCGGCCCCGGATCACGCCACAACGCGAAAACGAAAAGTTGGGCGCCAAGTGCAGAAAAGGCCGCACCATCTTGATACACGCGAAACGCAATAATTACTAAAAATTCGCGCGATCCGGGAACCGTCGGGACCGGTAGCTCTCCGTTATTTAAGTCGGAGACGGGATGGGTTCGGGAAATGAAAAGATGACTTCACGCTTGTTTGATAATAAGAGGATTTATTGGTGGGACTCTCGCACGTCCTGATAAAATAAGCGAGATGCTAGTCACAAAGCAAAAAGTCGCGGGACTCGGTACGATAGATCGTACGCGACAATCCAAAACTCCTCGGAGGACGGTCTCCTCGGGTGAGTCTTCCTACACGCGGTCGCTCCACAGATGGGACGATGGTACACAAACGTACGGCAACGGCACGACAATATTGAGCAGATGGGAGGTCTTACAATTATTCGGCTTGCCCTGCGGATGGAGTCGGCGGTAGCGGTCCTCCGGGTCACTCTCCGCAGTATCCTCGTAGTATCCTCCGCAGTATCCTCTCTCGCTCTATCTCTCCCGCTCTAGCTCGTTTTTCTCTCTCTCTCTCTTCGTCTCTCTCTCACTCTTTCGCTTCTCTCACGCACTCTCGATAACATAATCACGGGAATAACTTCGTCGTTCGCGCTCTGCGACGGTCGCGGCAAGGCTGACGGGCTGCTCCCTCCTGGAGGATTTCGTACCCTCGCCGACCCCTCTTCGTCGCTTCTCTCCGCGCCTCGAGGTCTTCGGCTTCGGCATTCAGTAATCGGCAATTTTCGGTAGACTTGTCTCGAGACGTTACTTGTCTCGAGACATTGTCGCCGTTGTTGCTCAGTTCGCGGTCTTGCTCGGCACGCTCCAAGTTTTTTCATGCTGGGATTCTGCTCGGGCCGCTGAGTCCGCTAAGCGTTCGCTAAAATGTAAACAGCTGAGCGGTATTGCATGTGATTTCGGTAGCTATGTTCTCGTTATCAAATATTCTGTTCTATATACTCGTAATATTCGATAACTCAGAGCGCTCGGAATAATCGAGAACTTTTCTAACGTAAAATGATACGAGAGCGAGTCACCTGATCGAGAGCTATAAGCGGGCGGTCGTTGCTCCTCCGTCCCACGTCGTCCTTGGTTCCATTGGTCCTGGTGGCCGGCAAGGGAAACCGAGGGGTACAAAGTTTGGGACGCGAGGAATCTTCAAATCTGCTCCGCTCACACAAAATAATTTCGAAATTTTTCCTGGAGACTAACACAAAAGAAAGAATACGCCGGTCCGCGATACGCGGTAACATTCGCGAAAGTTTCTCCGGGACACGATACGCAGGAATCAATCACGAAATCGTTTTTCCCTGGGACAGCCTCTCCGAGGCTGCTACGTCACAGGAGATTCAAACAAATATGATATGATTTGATTCGGATATTTATACGATATCCAAAAAAAACATTTCACTTTTCGAAACGCGATTTTTTCAACACCTTGTAGAGTAACTATCATCATATTTCATATACAATATCACTACATACTAATTTATAATATTTATTTTAACGGAGATTATCGTGATTGTACAATATGGTTAAAAATACAAAAATCTAAATTTTTTTTTGTTTTTTTAAGGAAATAAATGCAAATTTGGGAAACTTAGATTATTAAAGTATCGTAAAACTGCTCTTAACATATACTTCTCATATTCTTGAATATTTTGTCCACGCTCTCTTATAAGAACAAATGTCCGAAACCCTACCTTTGATAAATACCGCTTATTAACAGACAGATATTTTGGTCTTTTCTGTATCCAATTAAGATTGGTTTTGTTGCATTTGCATTAATAGATCTTCGTAATTAGTGTGCAATAAACGATTGTGACAAGAATTCCTTTTTTTTGAATCCTAAGTTATCGTAAACGAGCGATTAAAAAAAATCGTATCGATCAAGTTGAGAAAGAAAGAAACAAAGTAAAAAAACCTATCTAACTGATTTAAATAAAATCGCAGTTGGAAGCCACGATTAAGAAAAGAAACGAAGCTCAATCATCGTCACTGTCTGCATTGATCGTCGAAGCAATCTGGTCTTCATCAAAAATAGAAAAGCGGCGGTCTTAGAATTTTTGACTGATATCTTGCAAACATTAGATTTAATATAATACGCTACATATGAACAGAATCCGATTGTTCTCCGCCCATTCGCGTCTTCGCAAGTATAACGCGTAATTCCCGAACAGCCTGTCGTATTCCGTGCATATTCTATGAGGGATAGTTTTTACGATTAATGTGGCGAGAAGGAACGATAATTTTCAATATATTTTTTTCCTTGATGAACTGAATTTTCACTGAACCGTCTTTGTTAATCATTTCTCCTAAGTAACCGGCTTGATTCAATTGATAGGTCCGCTGGAAAGTTTCATTCCAAAATATTTCACCAACCGATCTTGAAGACTTTCCTGAAATGACTGAGAATAACTTAAAAAATTTTTTTACCGGAATCTATCAATTGAAGCAAGCCGCCGGTTACTTAGGAGAAATGATTAACAAAGACGGTTCAGTGAAAATTCAGTTCGTTAAGGAAAGAAACAATATAGTAAAAGTTATCGTTTTGTCTCGCCCTTAGCTGGCACCGTGGGATCAATATGACCCCAGCCTAGTTTAACTTGAATTTAAACCATCTTATTGCACGAAAATGGCAATAGTGGCGCCATCTAATGTTAGTTGAAGGAACAAACCTTCTTTTAGGCTTTCTTTTTGAGCATAATTTTAAAAGCGTTAGTGTGCTTGTAGTAGTCCAGCAAAGCGGAATGGTGCCCTCTAAGACCTCAATGTGCCAGCTGTAATTATTAAACGAATTTTCTCATATTTTTTCTTCCGAGTTTTTGTTATTGGCGTATTAAATAAGGTAAGTACATCATGTTAAACAATATTCAATTTTTTTCGAGATCGTATAGAACTTTTATTATTATTATTTTTATTATTTTTTTTTTATTTTTTAGAACTTTTATTTTTATTTGTTTTATTTTTAATTTTTATTTTATTTTTTTTAATTGAAGTTTCTAACAGTAAATTCCAACGCAAAATGTACGGCAATAGATTGCCTTGAAAAAATTCACATACACCTGGTAACACTATTTTTGAGAGAA